TATTATAAAGTAGACTTCTTTTAGAATTTTGTTCGTTCTATGGGTGTTATAACGCGGAAATTTTTTTGAACAAAGAATTAAACTACTGTCCAATTTGCGATCTATAAATTGTTCTATACAGGAAGGAAGTGAATTGCGCGTTCAAAAGGAGAAGTGAAACGCAATTGAAAATATGACGCCTGTCATATCGAAGCGTAGAGTTATATCGCTCGAATTTCACAAGAGGTTTTAATATAACTGTTTGAAAACAAAGTTGAGCATCTTGTGCGTTGTGCAACGCATTTTCGATAGTTCTATTTAAATCGACAGACCTTTTTGTTTTTAAAAAGTGTTCAATCCCTGTGAGATAAATTATTCGTACAAGATTCATTGTTCTCGATGCGAGTACAATGTTTGACCTATGTATTTCGAACGCGTAACTTCAAGGCTGTAAAATATAGTCGAATCGAACAAGTTGGCATTCCTTTCCATAACAAACAACGTTATTGTTTATGCAACATTCGTGCTACAAGTTAAAATTAAACCCCGATTTAATCCACTTGTTTGATAATATCGGAGCTTGTTTTAATCGATACTTCGAGTGACTAACAAAAGCATCGACGTTCTTCTGCATTGGTAAAACTTGAAGATATAAAAAAGAAGAAAATATAGGTTCGATAAGGGATAGTTTATTATTAGCGACACGCAGTCGCTTCTTCGTCATCTTATATTTTCAGTATATAAAATCGACGTTATCCTTCTACCGGAGTACTCGCACTCGTTAAATACTTTTTCATTCAAAACTGACATTTATGGCCAAAATTGGCACTGATAAATATTTCTATTTGAACAGACAAGGAAGAGGTCTTTATTGGTGAAAATTCTGAATATTTAATATTCATTGGCAAAAATATTTGTCGCTTGATTATTCGAGAATGCAAATGACAGGGAAAATTTTGAAAACTGCATCCCGAAATATTCGATACAAACACACTGCCAGAAATGTCAAACCGAACCTACGCGTTTTGGCTTAACAATTGACAAAAGCTTGACTCCGTCGACTCGGTATATGTATTTCGTAATTTCTCTTGAAAAACCACACAATACCTTTACTTAGTCTTAACACGTATACGACAATTTTCTACAATTACTTTTTGACCAAGGAAAAATTACAAGTATGCTTTCAAAATTTCTTCGCGAATAATATTGAACATTTCTAATACAATACTCCGTCGCCATAGACAAAAAATAGTAACCACAATCAAAAATTGAAACGTACACCCAAAATTGAAGAGAGTATAAAAGTAACGCGAACGTAATTTTTTTTCTCAAATTCGGAAAACTTATTGTGACGCAAGACATGCTAAATTCAATTTTCACGCGGAAGGACCACCCAGAATACAGGTGAACCGTACTCTACGCCACGTACAGCAAAATTCGTTGGAATCGTGACGCCCCACTGTCACCGAATCTTAATTTAACGCGATCTCACTCGAGCATTAGCATCGGTGGAAAGTCTCCAACGGTTAGATCGAGAAAGCGGGAATCCCTAAAACGCTATTTGTTATTAATACCACAGCGACCGTGTTCTCCCTCCACCGTCGTCCACCAGAATCGAAGCTGTGTCGCGGAAGGAACTCTAATAAAAATATCGCCGCGGAAACGTAGGCAGGTTTGGCAGTCCCCGTTCGATCGTTCTCATCGTGGAAAACGAAAACGAATTCGCACGGATCGAGACCGGGTTACACGAACTTGGCTGCCAACTCTTGCCTAGTCCATTGCGGCGCGTATGTACACATTTGAAAATCCATCTCTGGTGTCCCGGGGGCCGGGAACCGCTAGCAGCCCGCTCAGATTGGCAGTCGTCCTCGAGTCTCTAGAGAGAGTTGATCGAGAGTGTGCTGAGTGTCGGTCACTTTCGAATTCTGGACCGCTGCGGCTAAGTTTAGGCTCAGACCAGCCAGTTAAACCAGTAGAGAACGAGGCGTACCAAAGTGTCTTATTCGTGAAAACCACATTCAGCCATCTCTCTCTCTCTCTCTCTCTCTATCTCTTTCGTTCGTCTGTTCTATCGAGGTGGTCGGTGTAATCGCGAAACGATCGAAGATTTAAACCCGAAGAGGAGTGACTGATTTGAACCCTTTCACCTGTCCAAAGATCGCCAATCGCTCAGACTTCAGCTTGTCGAAGACCGCGCAGGCCAGCCACGTGACCAGAGAAGTGTTTCCGCGTAGCTTTGAAGAGAACAGGTTGAAACCCTTACCCTTGCTAGTGAAAAGCGCGTACGCTCGAAAAGAAGCCGAACAGATCCATCGTGAGATAGCGAATATCAACATGCAGTCGTTGAAAGATATACAAAACATGTCCGAGATACAGAGTGCGTTCGATCACGGTAAAAGTCTTCGCGGGAAATCGGCGAAAGCGATAGAGTTCCACCTGAGGGCCGAGGCGTTGAAGAATTTGAGCAAAAGTCAAGAGTTGGCCGATATAAGGAAGTATCAGAGGGAGAACGCCTCGTGTGTTAATACGGTGTGGGACAATAGGGAGCATCTGAGGCTGATGGAGGAGAGAACGAGAAATCTGTTGGACGAGGACGCGATAACAGCGCCTTTGAACAGCCTGAGCAGGGAGCTGAGAGGATTCGAGGAGAAGTCGAGCAACTACTTCCTGGACAAGAGGTATCGACACCCGAGACTCCTGAGACCCAGACGATTGTACGGATGCCTGGGAATCAGGCCCGCTTAGAAGGATGGACGTTTTCATGATTTGGTAGATTTTATTTGATCGGTAGCAGCGAGGGTAAGATTAATGCGACACGGACACGATGAAGAGGGAGTAAAACGATCGACGAGAATTCCGTTGGACTGTCGTTTGATCTTCGGGGCTTATCAATCGTAGATTAGGCGATTTTTAGATGTATATTGTAGTAGACACTTGTTATGGAATATTGTACAATTTTTTTTTTTTCGTTGTATTTTTCTTTCTCGACAAATTTTCTAACTTTTTTTTTTCGATAGAATAGACACACTTGTCTTTAGGTGTACTTCTTTTATTTATTTTTTTTTTAGTACGATACAACGATGATTATTTTTTAGGAACGTCAAAGAACCGAAGAACGTTGAAACATGTACATGCATCTTCCTCGTTTACATAAATACACACTTTCCACTTGTGGTAACGTGAATGATATTATTCCGCTGACTTGTATCCAGGTTGCTGAGAACTAACAAATTTATCGCATCGAAACCATCCAATTATCTAACCTATGGCTAAGCACGACGAATCTATATAGAAGTCTCGGTAATATCTAACACACCTCGTGTCGCTAACTAAATATGCTAACGGCGTACCCTTGAGAATGTTCACCAACAAACGAAGAATCTTCTTGCAAGTGTTTAAGATGGTTTTTGTGATAATAAAAATGGAAAGGTATGACGCCTTTTTTTTTAAACGATCCAAAGTCTTGCTGTTCCGTCACCTGGAAAACACACACAATAATCCGGTTGTGAGACCTTATTAAAAAAAAAAAAAAACAAATTGACTCGATTGGGGTATCGGTAATTTTCATATTGAAACGAAATAAATTAGCAAGCAGACCAGTATCGAGATCGAGCAGCTGAACGCACGCGTGGTCGAGGCAGAGACGAAGCTGAAGACCGAGGTGCAGCGTATCAAGAAGAAGCTGCAGATCCAGATCACCGAGCTGGAATTGTCCCTGGACGTTGCCAACAAGAACAACATCGATCTGCAGAAGACGATCAAGAAGCAGTCGCTCACTTTGACCGTAAGTGGATGATATACTATGTATCGATAATTGTCAACACTTTGATTTTTTGGTCAATTTTTAGAATGGATTGTGAGGAAGTTTAATTCGTTTTAGAGAAGATTTGGGGAGTGGATGCTTAAGTTTAGAGAACTGTGAATAGTAAAAATTAGTAATGTGAATTTTGGGAAGTAAGTTTGTCACGTTTATTGAGTAATATTGAAAGGAGAAAATTTGGGAAGTGGACATTTAAATGTTCTTATTCGTCAAAAATAAAAATATTGAGAATTGTGAACAATAAAAATTAGTGGAGTGAATTTTGGGAAGTAAGTTTGTCACGTCTGTCGAGTAATATTGGAAAGAGAAAATTTGGGAAGTGGACATTTAAATGTTCTTATTCGTCAAAAATAAAAATATAGAGAATTGCGAATAGTGAAAATTAGTGGAGTGAATTTTGGGAAGTAAGTTTGTCACGTTTATTGAGTAATATTAAAAAGAGAAAATTTGGGAAGTGGACATTTAAATGTTCTCGTTCGTCAAAAATAAAAATATAGAGAATTGCGAATAGTGAAAATTAGTGGCATGAATTTTGGGAAGTAAGTTTGTCACGTTTATTGAGTAATATTGAAAAGAGAAAATTTGAGAAGTGGACATTTAAATGTTCTTATTCGTCAAAAATAAAAATATAAAGAATTGCGAATAGTAAAAATCATTAACCTGAATTTTGGAATATAAATATTTGTAAAATGAAACAAGAAGGAGAAATATTATTTTCCATTTCTTTGCTTCGAAACTTCCCTCTACACAGTGTCTAAAAAACGAACACAGAAATAGAATAATTAAATTTTA